ACGAAACCTTAAAAAGGTATATAGATGGTGACAAATGTTTAAACCCTTTTTAGGTTCGGTAGAGTACCTTTTTTTTTTAGAGAGTAGAAATTGATCAAAAGTCGAATTTTCCTCCGCTAGTAAGGGGCGGATGGAGGCGTTAGATATAGGGACTTGTAGCCCAAGGTGAGATCTACAAAATTGTATAGAGAGAATATTTCTTTTTGGGCTCTCTGGCTGGGAGTAAGTTCGGCATCGATCCCAATGGTTATCATGACGCTCGATCAGTATTGACCCTGCATTCTGTAAGCTTAGATAAAACCGGGAGTTTTTATATACCATTCCACGCGCCGCGAGCTGTTCTACAAAACTGCATATTTGGTTTCTTGGTTCAAGGAGACAACAAAATCTTCTACTCTTGCCAAATGTTTATTGATGGCGTTGGCATATACTTAAGGATCAGTATAATGATTTATAAGAATTATGCCGTCAGCAAAAAGCTTTATGACACTTTCAATACCATTCGATAGATCATCAATGGAAACAAGAATAAAAAAGAAGCTGAGTAAAGGAAATGTTTACCGTCTCGTGCAGAAAAGATATTTCAAATACAGCCCCAGGATCCAAAACGTTAAAGATGGATCGAATTCTCTCACTTAACTTCTAGACCGTATTTATCGTACTCAGTTTTTGATGCACTTTCGAATGGCTTAATTAGAATCTTTTTTTCAACCAGTCATTCCCGAGATTCAGCAGTCACATTGAAGAGTATGGCACTTTTGGCTTAAAGTCGCAGTTTTTACCCTAAGGAAAAAGCTTTTCAAAATTACCTTTTTACCAAAATGTATCTCGCGGTCTCTTCTATCGCATGATGTAGTTTTCATATTTTGTCGGTGTTTATACAGCATAAAAAAAGATTTTTATTAACTGTCTGTACAAATAATTTTTGCCGCCACTGTAAGTTATGTAAAACCGGCTAAAGACATTAACTTTGATAATTCTTTTCTTTATCATTTTCCAACACTTCTTTAGCTAGGCTGAGATATCTTTGTGGCATTTTGATGTTGGCATGTTCTTCAGGCAATGATTATGAGCATATAGAGAACAGATTGTGAGCGGTATTGTAGTTTCTACATTGTAAGGATCATTATTTATAAAAAAAGATTAAAGTTAAACAAAATAAAATTATTCATCAAACTCTGAATAAACCTAAAACTGTACAGAAATGATTTAATCCAGTTTTGTCTCTATTCGAGCTTGCGTGGTACGATAAGTCTCTCTCCTGTATTTGCATAAATTCTGTACTGTAATCTTACACCTTTTGTCCTTCTGAATGTTACATTCCTGTGATAGAACAGGGACATTAAGAATAATATCCTATTTCGATATGCGAATAACAACAACACCGAACAACTTCGAAATAACAACATCATCCAGTTCTTCTCACCGTAAGAGAAAAAATCTAATACGCATCAGTTAGATAAATGTTGTGTCTGTTCTTCTCAGCATCCAGTTCAATGTTTTCAAGGAGAAACACACCTCGAGGTCGTAACAAGACCTCTTGTTCATTTGGAAATGACGAAAACGATGATATATCAAGTCCACCCGAATAAAATTGATCAAATGTTATGATAAATAATGTGTTTTGATCATCAACGTGTTCAAGCTTTTCTCTATTTTTAGTCGCTGATGAAAAACGGGGCCAACAAAACTTTCTACCAATCAATTCTCGGTAACATTTTAGTTGCTCTGAATCTAAGCTCATACTAAGATAAACTGTGTCTTTATAACCATACTTCTCATATAATACTGCGCAAGCTTGGTTGTGCAGTAAAAAATAAAAGCAACCTAATGTATCAAGTTTACTTTGGTCATTTTCTTGTACTATTAAGTTATAGATGAAAGAGTCGCGTGTATATAAAGACAAGCAGTATTTTATAATTGTTAATTCACTCGCAGTTTTCTTATTTCGCAACTTGTTTGCTATCCATTTGGCTTCGCATGATTTACCAATTTTCTCGCCTTCAATTTCAATACCATCGGCGGCCAGTTCTGCTACTCGACCTAATAGTGGTTTTGGCTTTTTGCCATAATGTTTCCAGTACCATTTCCAACCAAATCCACTGCGAAACACATTATCATCATCAGCAGTTTTATCAACAGGTAGCAGTGGTAGTGACAAACAAAAGCGTTCTTTTCGAAAATCAAGTTCGTTTTCGCACACGACGCGTTTAATTGGTCGTTGATCACGATAATCTTGCTTATTTACTTGAACTTTATGTATCAAATCAAGCAAATATAAATCTAACGCAACTTCTGTCGCTTCCGAACTGCGGAAAGAATCTTCAATTATTTCACATTCAATATCAGAATATCGAGTCCATTCGGCTGTTTCATTTGGCATCCACGGATGCTGATTTGTTTGATAATACCAGAATCTGTTCATCACTCTAAAACGTCATCGAACTGATTAACCTTTCTCTCTAATTTCTTGAAATAAACGTTTTAACTTCTGCTTTCCTTCTGATTATCAGTTCGAGTAAAGTCTTTATTATCTTACGATTGCGAGTGCGTAGTCTGTGCAGCTACTGTCTTGCTTAAAAGCGTAGCTTCTAACAAAATCGTAGTGCTTGATGTTAATGCTATTATCTGTGTTGTGTAATATACGATAAGATTCGTTACCAACGTTCTCACCTTCGACTGAAAACTGTAATAGAGACATACTTTTGATACACTCTAACGAATATTAGTATAACAAAGATACTTGCACAATACTGACGTAATTTTCACGTGTTAGTGAATAATCTAATACGAACGACACATACTCTAAACTGCTTTCTGTTCTGTTTTGTTAAAATTATTCATGTAACAAAAGGTCACAAAAGACTACACAAGCAGATTTCCAGAGACATATGATTTGCTGTTCACAATGACTTAAGAAGCACAAAATTCGTGTCAAGACAAGATCTCAAGAACGACAGAATGATGTGTAGCATCTGAATTGTATTTTTCTCTAACTGAAACCCTAAACTTTTTGAACTCTCGTTTTCGTTAGAAAGCTGACACTTTCTCTATAGGATCTTGATCAAAATGAATGCAAAACATGAAATTATGGTCTATTCAAAAAAAGAATAACCCACGACTGTTTTTTTAATAACTGAAGAACGGAAGCACTTAGCGACCTGCGATTTTCAGCATTAGAAAGAGCGAAGCGTGGGACGTAGGCCTATATAAAACACGACGAGTCTACTGGTAAAAATATGCGTTACTTACGTCTTTAAATTTTACTGAAAACTGCAGTAAAATATATCTAGTCTTGAACATCAACCTCGGAAGACAACTGATTCAAATGTCAGGTATACGTTGAACCGTACCTCTTCTTTATTTGAACTCACCAAGATAAAATCTCGAAGTTGTTCTGTTGAAAAAGAAGACCTTCAGCGATAAAAAAGAAATTGGAGGTTTCGAAAAAAATGTTGATTATTTGATAGCTTTTGGGAAATTTACTCAAAAATTCCTGATATGTGTTCTGTATAATAGAATAATTTTTAGGTAGGTCTACGTCCCACGGTTCGCTCTTTCTGATGGTGAAAACCGCAGGTCGCTAAGTGCTTCCGTTCTTGAGTTATTAAAAAAACAGTCATGGGTTATTCTTTTTTTGAATGGACAATAGTAAACGTCGATTTGAAATTGAAAATTAGCCTTTCTACTTTAACTTTACCAGTACTCATTCCATTTTTAGAATGTTTACTATTGAGTTTTTTTCAACATATAAGAGGTTGTATGAGTAAATGGGCACCAGTGTCATGCAATGGGCACAGCCCGATTTGATTACTGTTTCTTCTATAATAAAGTTTAAATCAAATCAATTTGTTAAATCACGTTTTTTAAGTTTTTTAAGTTTGATAAAGTGGCGCACTAGTTTCGGGTAGAGGAGACAAAACTGGTTATGTCTGACACAGAAGTTCGGTAGAGTTCGGAGGTTCTTAATATCGACAGCATACAATCTGTGAAACAAAGTCAGAAGTTCGTAACATGCCTAGTCATGTGGCAATTTGACAGACGTACATTCACATAATGAATGATGAGTGTTTCGTAAACATGTGTACGGTAAAAGGTCTGTTCATATTTACACTGACCGGGAACCTCCTGAGGTGCTAAAAACCTTTCTGAATGGGTCTATTTTAAAAATGTAGGCCCTCATGGGCTATGAAGAACCCCAACTTGGTTCCGGCGAAATCAGCTTTGTTTCTGAGATATCGAGTTTTTACTCGAATTTTCTCCACAGGACCTGAATTTCAAGCAAAAGGAGAGTTTTGAATTTCATGTTATAACGTATCATATTTTGTAGCCCAGGCCAATTGTAGTCCGCTGAAAAAAGGCACGACTGAAAACCTCTTTTCGCAGCGGTGAAAGAACTTTTTGAAAACCTTTTCCATGTTTTCCCTTTGGTACCCATATGGAAAACGTTTTTTCACCGCTGTGGAAAGAGGTTTTCAGCTCGGTCGTTTTTCATCGGACTACAACAGGCCTGGGCTACAAAATATGATACGTTACAACATGAAATTCAAAACTCCCTTTTTGCTTGAAATCCAGGTCCCGTGGAGAAAATTCGAGTAAAAATTCGATATCTCAGAAACAAAGCTGATTTCGCCGGAACCAAGTTGGAGTTCTTCATAGCCCATGAGGGCCTACATTTTAAAAATAGTCCTATTCAAAAAGGTTTTTAGCACCTCAGGAGGTTTCCTCGTCAGTAACATTAGAGCAGACATACTACTGTCAAATAACGGCCCTAAACACTAGGCTGTCGCCGAATTGTCTTACAACTTATTCTGAGAAATTTTTTAGTGCAGAGATGAAACGAAGACACTTGTTCTGTGTTAGCTATAGTAACTATAAAGACTTAATACGGTCAAGGGAGCGCGTGCACACTTGTGTTCACGTTGTTTGTTTGTTTTCAGCAGATCCTGGTTATGAGATTAGTGCTATATTATTGCATTAAATCCTAATTAACAGGTTTATAATTACAAATAAAGCGTTTAGTAGATAAACTGGTAGCCGATGCTTAATTAATGCAAAGTGCTTCAGCGTGGCCAGAACCACTGATCATTTCAGTAATGCTAGGTGCAACTTTATCATCGGTAACTATTAACGGATAATCAGTAATAACTACATTAAAGCAAATGCCACAGACTGGATAACTAGCTGTGCAAAGTCGTTATTCCTTACAGATTTCAAGCAGTAGTAAGCCTTAAGAGCTGTATTTTTGGAAATATTCAATAGTTGTAAACTGATCTTCGAAACGATTGAGTGACTGTATTCACGAGTGAATTCTTGTAAATAGGGATGCAACGGTAACCGCACACTACCGGTCCAACCGGTTTTAACCGATTACCGTTACGGGTTCCAACGCGCGACGATTGCAAAAGCTACGGTCAGAGTTGTACACGTTCATATTATTTTTTGCCCCTTCTCCTTTGATACGAAACTCTTTATTAGATGTTTTTCGAATCACTTCTTCTTGGAGAGCAAATTATTGCTTGTATACCAAGAATATGTCTCATAAAATAGTCAAGATGTAAAACGATAAACTTGAAAAACAAAAGAAATATTTGGTACACAATTCAAAACACAAAATAAACGTTTCTTTATTCACCACAGTTCTCTGTTAATGTTGATTTACAACACAAAGCTGGTCCGATCGTTAATGGAGTTATGCGTCTTTCCTCTAGGGAAAAGTACTTAAGTTTTAGGTTGGATTCTGATTGAACATACATATGCAAGTAACAAAATTTTTCTCTTTTTTAAAATTAAAAAAAGTCTCACGCGTGCATTCGTCTCTGAACGGATCTCTTAGCAAGCTTTTGTAAATGTACGTTGTATATTTACGTTCCAGAGAGAGAAAGCAAGTTCATATACTTCGTACATATACGAAAAATCTCAAAAACACCTTTTTTCCGTGGGCTGTGAGACAATGGAATTTGTTACCAGTCGATCTACATGATATGGCATCTCTAACACAATTACGAATTAAAATTCATAATTTTTTCTCTCCTCATTTTAAATGGTCAAAATTCAAGGTTAGTGAGCGTAAATATAACTGTTTACTAAATCAATTGAGGGTTAAGTTTTCTTCATTAAATTTCGATCTATTTCAAAAAGATTGAGTTCCAGTTGGTTCTGTACTTGTGAGAAAGTAGCAACCGTCAAGCATTTTCTCTTGGAGTGTTCATGTCACGGCTGAATAACTTCAATTCCAGAGCAGAGGATTTTTTTGATGGAGTTGGAGTTCGAGTTGAGATTTTAGTAGTTTGGAGCTGGGTTTCTGAATTTGTATTCCCAACTCCGTTTTGCATTTTTGGAAATATTCAATAGTTGTAAACTGATCTTCGAAACGATTGAGTGACTGTATTCACGAGTGAATTCGAAAGTTCTTTGCGCTTTCCTGTCGGGCAAAGCTCAAAAACGTCCAGAATCCTACTGAAAAGCGAAATATCTTCCTTAATGATGTCATGGGTCTATTCCTCTTTCTTTTTGCTGTTCTATATTTATTCAATGAAAATTCGTTTCTTTTTCTTCTTTTTAAAAATAAAGTTAAACCAAAAACCAACTAAAAATGGATAAAGAAAAGGAGGAGAGAAAAATGAAGATGTGTTTTTTTTTACCTTTCATCCCGTTACAGATTAAAAAAACGTGAAATCTTTACAAAATTTCTTTTGTTATTGTCATGCTTACACAGAAACGTTTTTGTCACTTATAATAAAGCGCATCATAGTTGTTTTAACTTTGTATGTAGATTAAAAAGTGAAAATGTCATCAAGTGTGTTTGTTTCTGGTGCTGGCGGTTACATTGGTTTTGACATTGCGAAAGCATTTCGTCGTGCTGGATACAGAGTCTACGGTCTTATTCGTAATCAAAAATATTCATCAACATTAATTATTAATGAAATTATTCCTGTTGTAGCAAAACTATCTGATACATCCACATATGTGGATATAATGTCAAAATGTTCAATTATTATTGATGCTGTTGGATGGTGTTCAGAATCACAAACATTCTTAGATGCTGCAATACAAGCAGGACGTAATCGCGGTTCAGATATATATAAACCATTGTTTATTTTTACATCAGGTATAATGACCTATGGTGATGCCAGTCGATTACCCCTAGATGAGACAATAAAACCAAAACCAAAATCAATACCGGGCGATATGAAAGAACGTGAAGAGTTTGAAGATAAAATATTGTTGTTGAAACAAACAGAAGGTGTATATCCTGTAGTAGTCAGACCAGGTTTTGTTTATGGTGGGCAAGGTGGTTTTGTTGCTGATTTATTCTACAAAATTGGCACGGATAAAGAACTAGGTAAAACTGATACCGGAAGAACTCTGTATAACATGTTCGTATACATTGTTATTTTCTTCTAGTTTTATATGGTCGAAGTGATAAACGCTGGTCATGGGTGCACATTGATGATTTATCCGATGCCTACGTATTGATTGCACGCTCACCCATAGCGAGTGTAAAAAATCAAATGTTTAATATTGCAGCACAAGGTGATAATCCAACATATGAACAATTGAGAGTAGCTATGGCTCAACAACTAGGATGGAGCAATACGAAAAATAAAATTATTTACCACAGTGTGGATAAAATGGATGAAAAAGATGCACATCAATTGAACTGGGAACCAGATGTAATTATAAATCCTAAAAAAATTACGGATCAACTCGGTTGGACACCAAAACATGTTGGATATTTGCATGAAATCGAAATATACTATCAATCATGGTTACAAAGTAAAAAAGAAAAAATGAATTAAAACTCTTTTGGAAGGTTCCTTATTACAGAGGCTTTTAGATTGACTGCAGAAAATTAGAATACCGTCCACTTTGTACTGTACGGATTAAATGTTATTACAGAGTTCACTGGCTCAAGTCAATCCTAATTATAAAATATAAGATCGCTGATGGCGACCTGCTTTTTCAGCTTGCTTCTTTCGTTTACAGCCTAAATTTGCTATTGGTTGCTCAAGATGCGTCCAATAAGAGTTCCTAACCTTAATTCACTCAACTGCCTTTTAAAAGTCCAAATTCATAGTAAAGGACTTTTTTGATATAATAAATCTATTGCTTTAATTAGGGGGTAAACACTACACGTGTTTCCGATCGATGATGATGAACAGTCTTCTATACGCATATGAATAATAGTGAAAAAATTGAGCAAAAAAAGAAAAGATTCGAGCCGGAATTGAACTCGTGATAATGAAAAGAATATCCATTACGACTATTGAACCATCGTATCTGTACACATAGACTATCCCATATTGGATATGGGACCCCAGTCCGCGAGCCGGTGAGGAAAATCTGAATCGGCAGTTCGATTCAGAATATTTTTCTCTTACTATACTGAAATGCTCAGCTCCGATCCTTTCAATTTATTTATAGAGCGCTCGTGTCTACCTAGATTTATTGTATTCGTTTCGTACACTAACCAATAGAAATCCAAGATGGCTGCCATGCCTAAAATTCTACGTAGAGCGCTTGCTTTACTCAAAATAATGGAAAAACGCGGAATTTCTTGCATATTTATTGAAAAGAAGTCCTAATTATAATTATTCCGCCAAATCCGACAGAAATAGACTTGAGCGCGAACCACAAACGCTCGTTTGGCGCCAGATCGCTCTAATTAATTATCTATACCCCTGGAAAGCAAAAGCCGGATTCAGTATTTGAGCTCTTTTGATACCATAAAAGGATGTTTTGAGAAAAGTGAATATACCATTAGATAGCGCGTGAAATTCTATACAAAACTGTGTAATTCGATTTTATCTTGACTTCATGTATTGTAAAATAAATCGAGTGAAATGAAGATGCCCTCAAGATGAGATTCCCAAACGCCTATATTTTTCACCATCACTAGTCCTCTCGCTTTTTTACTTTTAGAAGTATATAGATTCATAGAGAATTTGAAGCTCTATCAGAATCTATAATTACAATTCATCTTTGCACTAATAATAGCGTTGAAATAAACAAAAAAGTCTTGCTAAAACAACCGATTTTTTTGGTTTCTGAAAGAGGTTAATCACTTTATACTTGGATTATTCTTCCGCACATAAAAGCAAGGAAAGACCAAAGTATATACATTGATAGAGAATTTCGAAAAAAGAGGAAAAAAAAGATTGCCCAGGTGATCTTTCTGCAACATAAATCTGGAAAAATCTTTGCAGTAACTTTGCAGATTCTGCAAAGGGATTCTGCAGATTTGAAGCAGATCTGCATTGCAGATGTGCCAAGATTTGACCAAAGATC